CGACACTGTTGTTCTCTTTTGGACTTTGTTTTCAAGTCGACTACGTCTCGTGTTTCTCCCTATTCTTCTTTCGTGCTCTAGCACGCTTCCTGTGTGCTTTGCAACAGAGCACGGTCAACGCTTCTCTAATTGTTAAGTAATTGGTATATTTGAAAGCTACTCATTCACTTTCTCCGTGCTTCATTCATGTATAGAGAAAAAAAGGTACAAAACGAAAGTCAACTAAGAAACTCACCTTTACAAACAGGTGTCTCACCGACCCACTTTCCATCTTCCCCACATGTCAAAGTATCTGGTCCTTTCAATTTATACCCTTCATTACAAGTGTAATACACGTGTGCTCCAAAAACAAACCCACCGCCGAACATCACTGCGTCAGGCACTTTTGGAGGCTCCTCGCAGGGTACAGCTAAAATACATCAATCAAATAAATTTTTCATCATAGCGATGGCTCATTCTATCGCGATACTGATTCATCTATTTGACTTTTACTATATTGCATTGACGAGGAAAAACAAGCATTCATTATATCGGGATAGATGTCTACGCTTTAAGGCATTCTTAATGAAGGGATTCCAAAGTAACCCGGACCTAAGACACCCAGGAACGTATAAAAAGGTACTAGATAACGGAAAACTAAGTCAGCGGAATGAGGGTTTGTTTATTTAAGTTGGATTCTGTTACATCAAGAGGAAAGATGGTACGTTGCATCCATATTACTATCGTGGGTGAAATCGTGAATTCTGTTCGTTACACAGGAGACTTTATTGACACGGGGTCATGATGATTCGTTTTAATCGTATACTACATTTTTAAAATACAAGAGAACATCTTGCTACATAATGTAATCTTACGTTTGCAAATTGGCTGCGTGCCACTCCAGGTTTGGTTCGCAAGACATGTTCTTGCGTTGGGGCCTTCCAGTTTAAAACCGCGATGGCAGTCGAAAGTGACACTGTTATTGTACTGAAATAACCAGCCCTTGCGTTTTCCATTCAAGGGAGATCCAGGGTCTCCACAACTTACAGCTGAAAAGAGATAGGATCCGATAACTACATCAAGTTAAAATAAATAGAATTAGAAAATGAAAATCATCGTCAACGTTACTGTAAAAATAGAACACGAGTCACGACTGTATATCATTTAATTAAGGGAAATAACGTAACAACATCAGCAAATTAAAATATGGAACAATAATTTTAAAACAGAAATCTTGAGAACAAAACAATCAGTTCCAAGAAATAGACGTGTTTCATAAATTGTTACAGTCGAACCTGTCTTAAGCAGCCAGTTGTCAAAGTCCCGAATTTCTTCCCCTTAATCACTATAATGTTCACCTATATTAAGTGGTCGGTCCTTTATTTTATCCCAGCGGCCTGTTTTTATGGTCCTCTACTTGTATTGAACGGTCTCTAGAAACGGGACCACCCAAATGAAACTAAGAATAATCTTTAAAGTACTTTTTGATACATTTTTCCTCCCAAGTGGCGTTGTTTATCGTTTTTCTAGTACCCTAAACTGTTGAAATTGTATTAGGCTGTCACCCCGCCATTCCCGCATTCCCTGTGGGTGAGTGCTTATTACAGGTTGGACTATATATGGAGAATCATAACCATGATGAAATTATTTGACATCTAATCTGTACTGACCAACACAGGACACATTATGTTTAGTCCATTGTCCATTTGACTGACATCTGATTCTATG